CAACCCACAACAAGCAACAGCAAGTTCTGGGGAGGGGAGAAAATCTGATTTTTCAGAGTTACCACAATGTAATGCTCAAAATATCCAGTTATCAACAGCAAAAAAATTACTATGCTTGCAAAGAAATAAGTATAGTCTATTCACAGCAAAACAAGACATTAATAGAAACTGCCTCTAAGGGAGCCCAGACATTGGACTTACTAGACAAAACTGTAGAACAACTGTCCCCCTAACTGGCCTGGCCCCTGTCTACCTCTCACCTCACCTTGTACCAGTTTATGTTTTGCTCACTCTCATGAGTCACACTGGCCATCCTGTTGTTCTTTAGTTCATCAAGTATGTTCCTCTTAGGACTTTAAACATGTTGCGTTCCCTCTGGAGTGCTCTTCTCCTCCTCCTTTGCACAGCTCACTCTGCACATTCTGGGCTCTGTTCACATTCCACCTCCTCAGAGGCATCTTTTCTGATTCCTTATCTACAATAGCTGTGCCCTTCCCCCACCTCCCTACCTACTATCAATTTCTGTTCCCTTTAATTGTTCACGTCACTCTCTGAAATTATTTTCAGAGTTATTTATTTACGGTAGCTACTTATGTACTTGTTTATTGTATGTCTCCCTCACTAGAATGTAAGCTCCTTGGCAGCAGGTACTTTATCTGTGTCCTTTAATAAGTGTTTATTAAATGAATAAATAAAGTTATACATGTTGAACAAAGAGTAAAAACAAGAAAAGCTTAAAAATTTCCTGTGAGAAGTCTCCTTCAGCTCAGAAATTTTTGCTCACCAGTTGTTTAATAAATCTACTAGAGAAAGTCTTTCCACTGACAAGGCTTCAAATAAGGTGACAGGGTAATGTCCGATGCCATGATGGCCTGTTATTTCCATCCTAGGAAAGGAGATCACAGGTGGGGAAGTGAGTGAGCAAACCTCTGTCCCCGTTTAAGCAGCCGCTGGGTCAGGGGTGGACAGTGTGTCAGTGAGCTGCAGGCGAAGCTCTCTGGGTGAGCCCCTGTGACCACGAAAGCCAGGCCACTTTTGGTGGCAGTGGGAGAGGTGTCCTTGAGATTTCAAAGTAATCACATCTTTGGCAGAGGTTGAAAAACAGGGCAGGTAATATACAAATGTTGGGTGGTATTGCCTTGAGTAAAGAGCAAAGGGACAGTGGGCTGAATGCTCTTTGTCTCTTCTTGTTCTGCAGTTTCAGAATCAATCCCCAGAGAAGAATCTCCTCTGATTCTGGTAAGGTTCTAAAACAACCTGAGACAAGAAATGATACTTAAGTATTAAGATTATGAACAGCTTATGAACAGCTTTTAATTTACCCACCTACTACCCCCCACTCTCTACTTTGGTGGCTATAAAGACAACTGCCCACATTCCTGGTGCAGCTTTCTCATGCCAGAGGGGAAAATATAGATCTTGAATCAAAAAAGGTGGGTAAATTAAAATACCACAATCTTCTCTTTCCAAAATTCAGTAGTATTTTTCTTTCATAAGCTTATAATAAATGGGTTTATCCCATTAAACATTAAACTATTTTTTTTCTGGATGAAATTGTTTCTAGAACCTGTTATATACATCAAAATTTTCAATATATTAACCGCTTAATTTTCTTCTAAAAGATACTACAATGAACTCAGTAACATTTTTCTGAGGTAGTAGGGCATGGTGATTAAGAATACTGCTTCTTGGGACTTCCCTGGTGGTCCAGTGGTAAAGAATCTGCCTTACAATGCAGGGGACTCAGGTTCGAATCCTGGTCGGGAACTAAGATCCCACATGCCTCGGGGCAACTAAGCCCCCATGCCACAACTACTGAGCTCGTGCGCCTCAACTAGAGCCTGCGTGCCGCAAACTACACAGCCCACATGCTCTGGAGCCTGCATGCCACAACTAGAGAAGAGAAAAACCCGCACGCCACAACTAGAGAGAAGCCCGCGCACTGCAACAAAGAGCCTGTGCGCCGCAATGAAAGATCCTGCATGCCTTAACGAAGATCCCGCGTGCTCCAGCTAAGACCCGACGCAGCCTAAAATAAATGATAAACATATTTTTTCTTAAAAAAGAACGTTTTTTTAAAAAAAAAGTCTGACTTCTTTTCTGAAGTCAAAGAACTTGGGTTCAAAGCCTGGCTTTGCCACTCACCAGCTGGGCAAGTTAACACCCTGTGCCTCAGCTTCTTTATCTATAAATAGGGAGAATACTAGTAGCTGCCTCAGAAGGTTCTTGTAAGGATTAAATGAATTAACACATGGGATGTACTTAGCACACTGCTTAGTATATAGTCCTGCATGGACAAATGTTAGCTGCTACTGCTGTGACTACTATTACTATTATTGTTATAGCAACATTTTTTTTCTTGGTGCCTTAGCTCATTATAAAAGTCTTAAATTACTATAATATGTTACAACGCAATGATACTTATTTAAAGGGTGGAGGGTTATTGGCTTTTACATGAAATGGTCCCAGACCTATTTGCAGGAGTGCTTTTATATGCTGTTTTATAGCTTTTCTATTTTCCTTTGTGAGGTCTCTGATTTTCACTTCTACTGTTGTTAATCATTTTTCCTATGTATATCAGTTTCTTTCTGTACTTCTTCTGTTACAGGGGTCATAAAAACCAGCAAACCAAGTTTGTTAGGCAGGTGTGTTAAGTAAAAGCGAATATATTCTAAACTAAGTTGGAAAAGCTCTCCTATATATGAAGAGAGAAAAGAAACTTGACTCCACGGACATTTCATTTGGCCTTTCAGAGGTATTTATTTTTTCTTATTTTCCGATTCTTATATAAATATAAAAAGTTATATGAAAATTAAGTTTCTGGGGAGACAGATGTAACAAAGTTTACACATAAATATTAAGATTAAAAAGCCTCTAATTTAGTTCAAATAAATACTCATTAAGGTCCTACTATAGCTAGACACTGGAGGAGCAAAAATGAATGATATGGTCCTAAACCTCAAGAGGCTTGCAATCTAGAGGGGGAGATAAAGCATAAACAATTAATGCCAAGATAATATAGTAAGAGATACCAAAGATATTCACACTGGGTACTATGGGAGCCTAGAGAAAGGGCCCTTAACCTCACCTGGGGTTCCAAGGAAAGTCTCCTGGAGAGGATCATGCCTGAGCTGAACCAGAGGGCAGCCAGGTGAAGAAATGTTGAATGTGCTATTACAAGCATAGGAACAGAAGTCATGAGGTAGGAAAGCAGCATAGTGCTCTTCTGAGAGTATGTAGCTGTGTTTGTGTGAAGAATTAATAATTTGATATTGTTGCAATTAAAAAAAAAAAGTGAAATGGGAAATGGTGAGAAATGAAGCTAGGAGTTAGACTGAATAGGGGCCAGAGTCAAGAGAGGTTGTCTTATGCCATGCTGAGAGGCTTGGACATTGCCTATAAAGAAATGGGGAGCCATTAATAAAAAACTTTAAGGAGAAAAATGGCAATTTTCAGATTTTCCTTTTAGCTGTATAACTGAGACAGCATTGTAAAAGATAGAGAAAAGCTAGAAAAGACTGGAGGAAGGGAGACAAGTTAGGTGTCAGTTGCAATGAATAAACTAGAGATAGTAAAGCCTGAATGAGGGCAAGGTAGTAGTTATGGTGAGGTAGAGAGGGTTCCAGATGTAGTTTGAAGATAAGATTGGATGATCCTGGTGATTTATTAGATGAAGGGGGTCCAAGATTGAAAGGAATCAAGGATGACTACCAGATTTTAGGCCTTGAATTACTGGTTAAATGAGAGTACAATTAACGGGAGAGAGAAAGAGGACAGTGTTTGGTTTATCTTGTTGCTGTCGTTTTGTTTTTTAAATTTAAGTTTGCCTTTGTTGTTTTTCTTTTTTAAATAGTGGGCATATGAAGAGTAATTAGTTCAGGTTAAATTTGAGTTGAATAATGTAGAAGTCAGAATTGAAGATATCAGTTTTAGAGTAATTAACAAATAGAAGCAAGAGAGCAGATAAGAAGTCCTAGGAAGATGTGTGAAAAGAAGAGAAGCAGAAAAAGAAAAAGAGCAGCAGAACAAGAGTGGGGTGGGACATTGGAATGCCAGTGCTTAAAGAGGGACAGAGGAGGCTAGCCTGTGAAGGAACCTGGGACAGCACACTGAGAGGTACAAGGAGAGGACAGTGCCATGAAAGCCAAGGATGAGTTTCAGATGGGCTGGTCAGTAAAGAAGCTAAACGCAACTTGTATCAGCTGCATTTTGTGAGCACTCACTACACATCCGGTGCTGTGTCATACAGTGTTACCTCCTTTAATCTGTCACCCATGTGCTATAGATGACAAATCTGAAGTTCAGCGAAGATGTATAACTTACCCAAGGTCATAGGGTGAGTTGGCAGAACTGGGATCTGAACCCAGGTCTGCAGGATTACAAAGCCCATGTTCTTAACTCTGCTGGAGTAAAAGAACTTCTTCAGGATGCAACATTATAGTATCATAATAAGGACTGCTATATATTGCTTTTCCAAGGAGCATATCTTAAAACTATCTGATAATCTCAAAGAAATGATATTCAAGGAGGTCACTATACATTTGATCACTTTAATCAAAACATACTTTTTTCAGTGACGTATTTCTTGGAATATTTTTATTTCATAAATATTACACTTGTCAAATCATGAGAACAATAAAGTGCAACACAAGACAACCCACTCATTAGGGCACTGCTCCAATAAAGCCAGAAGGAAGGTCCTAGACGGACGAGTTAATGTCCTTCAGAGGAAAGCTAGGCACCCTGGACTTAGACACCTGAGTCTTCTTAGCTTTCTCACAAATGCTACTACTGGTCTCAAGGAAAATCAGAAAGGATATGCACAGTTCAGCAAAAAACTACCACAAACATGAAATTAATTAGAATAGTTATTCTATAGAAGGTTTATTTTAGATGATAAATTATTATCCATTTAAAGAGAGAATAAGAAGTCACAGCGCTATTATAAAAGTTGTAATTTTCCTATTTCCCACTAGAGGGAGCAATAGCATTGCTCTTACCATTTGGTGGATAAAAGACGGCATATTCTTCTAGTCCTAGTTTTCCTGTAAGAGAAAACCATAGAGAGTTCCAATATGATTAGATAAAATAGAAAAAACTTTAAAAATTAATTTTGTGAATATACTAAAAATTAATGGAATTTAAAAACTACTATAGTACAATCTCCTTTCATTTCATTTTAAGATATGGAATTAATTTGAAAATATGCCAGCCAATCTTTTGGTATTAGCAAATCCTTTCATCAATTAAAGTCAATAATATAAACTTAAGCACTACAAGGTAAGTGATACAAAATAATTAAAAGAACAAACGTTTTCAAGCTCCTTAAGCACTTAAGAGCAGCATCTATTTGTAAGCCTAGAATTGTTGTGTTGATTATAAGTAATTCTAGTCTAGTCATTAAAGTAAGTCCTAAGCTTTGCAACACCTCATTAGTTTACATTTTTATGGAGTGAGCTAAAAAGTTAAAATTAAATGTCTTTCACTGTATGGTGGTAATATTTTCTGAATTCCTAAACAATTGATATGGTCTGAGAATGAGGCTAAATATTTGAAATCAGGATTATCTCAGAAAATTAAACTACATTCACCATAATTAAATGTTTAAGTGAGTTTTAAAAAGTTTTTCCTCAAAACTTTCAAAGGTCTGAGTTTTTTCCCACCTTCTACTGAGGTGGGAAAAAGTAGGTAGCTCTTATCTTGACAGTTTTTCTAACACTGTTGAGTCTACTGAAAAGTCACGTGCGTTTTTGCACTTGGCTTTAAGGTAAGATTTTTAATTAAACATTTTTTTTTGGTTGGGAATGGTGGGAGAGAGGAAATGAAGAACTGCATGAGCAGTTTAGGTTAGGGTGGAGACAACAAGGATTGATCTTGTGAGTAAGAAGAGAATGAAATGATAGATGGGTAGGTAGGTAGATGGATGGATGATAGAGAATACCTGCCGGGTACCCAATACTGGGCTAGGTGCCGAGAGGCAAACAGAGTAGATATGAGATATGGTGTCTGAACCATGTGGCTTATAATCCAGACTAAAACAGGAAACATTAAGATATGTTTGGTAAGTTTTCTGGCACAGGCTTTAAGTGCTTTAGAGGTTTCGAGGAGAGGGAAATTGATGATGGGTTGGTGGACTTGGAGACAATGGAAAATGTATATTGGTCTCTGCCCCTGGTTGCTGGCACAGAGCTCCTGAAACCCTTGTACTTTCCTAAGTGATAAGAGCATTGGGAGCATCCTTCATTCTATTGGGGTGACTCTGAGTGGGCTTCTGAACGGGCGCTGGTCACCAGAAAGACCAAGCCTTGATTAGCAGCCCCACCCCCTCATACTCCAGAGGGACTGGAAATGGAGTTTAATAATTGATCATGCCTCTGTGAGGAAGACTCCATAAAACCCCAGAAGTAGGGGGTTTGAAGAGCTTCTAGGTGGGCAAACACATCAACACTGGGAAGAAGACGCACTCCAACTCCATGGGGACAGAAGCTTCTATGCTTGTGACCCTCCCAGGCGTAGCCCTATGTATCTCTTCATCTGGCTGTTCATTTGTATTCTTTATCATATCCTTTAACCAACTGGTAAATGTAACTATGTGTTTCCCTGAGTTCTGTGGGCCTCTCTAGTAAATCAGTCAAACCCAAGGAGAGGGTTGTTGGAACTTCCAGTCTAAAGCCAGTTGGTCAGAAGCACAGGTGATAACCTAAGCTTGTGACTGGTGTCTGAAGTGTGTGTGTGTGTGTGTGTGTGTATGTATGTGAGGACTGAGTCCTTAACCTGTGGGATCTGACACCATCTCTAGGTAGACAGTGTTAGAATTGAGTTAAACTGCAGGACACCCAGGGGGTGTCAAGACTAGCTTGTTATTGTGGGGAAAACTCCCCACATATGTGCGACCAAAAGTGTCAGAAGTGAAGTGCTTTGTGTGAGTAGTAAATTAAAAACACAGGAGCAAAACACAGTCGGAAAGAATTGGGTTTTTCCCTACATAGAAGGAAATAATCTGAGTTTTTCTGATACTGTGAGATATAGGCTAGTTCTTCAAGAACCTATGATTTTGGGGGTGCAGGAGTGGGAATCTTTCCATGTTTAGGGAATATATAGAGGCTTAGAATGAAAGTGGGGTAATGTGGAATAAACAGAGAATCAAAGTTAGCTAGGTTAAGACAGGATCAACTGACGGAGGGCTGAATTTAGAGGCAAGTCCATCAGATAAGTTCTATAATCAGTTTTTCAGCAGATGATATGAAAGAAACGAACAAGTAAACCAAATGCTTCTGTCGATTCAGTATAGAAGCAATGTAACCAAGAGAGCCCCCAAGTGGGGGGAGCCTGATCCCAGCACTGGCAATGTGGGCCTGTCTTAGGGCAGGGGTTGTAGTAAGCAGGCAGACAGTTGGACTTAGGAGATACAGGACAAACAGCATCTTTCTTTCTGGGAATAGCAGAATGACCATGCACAATAGGCTTATAAGCTTCCAGTGCTGGGTGTTCACTACTTAATGAAAAGGAGAAATCGGGGAAAGGCTTCCAGCTGAAATTGGTTCAATTGCCAGGTGATAGCAGGATACTGAAATAGCATTATCTTGTAGACAGCTAGTGATAAAGAGAAGCAAGCAATAAAATAGAATTAAGAAAGCTAATAGCATATAAATTATATCAAACTTTAAGTGTGGTGTAACATTTTGAGAGAAGGAATAAAGAAAGCAAAAAAAAGAGAAAGCAAATTCAACTGATAAACTCATAGTTAGAAGGGTAAGTAAAAGTCAACAGATATGGCAAAAACAGCAACAGAGGAGAGAGCAACAGGGAAAATAAAGAAGTAATTTTAAATTGCTGTTTTTGGGAACCACTTTCCTGTGATCTGCGATAAGTGGCTTGGGCACTGATCTAAGCGGGAGTGAAAGATAGTTACAATAACCTGAGAGGCATCTTATTAAATAATTTACAACAAAAATTTTGACAACCAATATATGCTATAAAGTAAACAGTCTTGGCATGATTATGTAAGTGTTAAAGAATACTTCCTTTATATACTAAAAGTTTACCTCTTATGTATGATTTCGGTGGTGAAGCACTGTTGTATGCAAAGTGACCCAACACAGATGTATCTCGGGAGAAACAAAGTAATACCTGGGTACAACATTGGAAAAAACAAACAATTAAGCACTGTTTCTTTTCCTTTATTTTGTATTGAAATATGGTTGCATTACAATGTTGTGTTAACTTGTGTACTTTTTATTTTTTTTAACATCTTTATTGGAATATAACTGCTTTACAGTGTTGTGTTAGCTTCTGCTGTATAACAAAGTGAATCAGCTATACGTATACATATATCCCCATATCCCTTCCCTCTTGCGTCTCCCTCCCACCCTTCCTATCCCACCCCTCTAGACGGTTACAAAGCACAGAGCTAATCTCCCAGTGCTACGCGGCTACTTCCCACTAGCTAGCTATTTTACGTTTGGTAGTGTATATATGTCAGTGCCACTCTCTCACTTCGTTCCAGCTTACCCTTCCGCCTCCCCGTGTCCTCAAGTCCATTCTCTACATCTGCGTCTTTATTCCTGTCCTGCCCCTAGGTTCTTCAGAACCATTTTTTTTGATTCCATATATATGTAAGCACTGTTTTATAACAGGTAATTCATTGCTACTTCTGCTTGAGAGGCACTGAGGTAGAAACTTTTAAGTTCAGTACTGTGCCTCTCAATGGGAAGAGTGCCCTCTATTGGTACACCTATGGTAAGTGTTACAGTAGAGACCAAGTGTGATGGGCAAAGTTCATCCAAAGATTTCTCACTGTTAGTCACCTAAGCCTTAAACAACAGCAGAAAATGCAAGTTACTAACTACCAGGTGATTCTTTTTTTTTTTTTTAACATCTTTATTGGAGTATAATTGCTTTACAATGGTGTGTTAGTTTCTGCTTTATAGCAAAGTGAATCAGCTATACACATACATATATCCCCATATCTCCTCCCTCTTGCATCTCCCTCCCACCCTCCATATCCCACCCCTCTAGGTGGACACAAAGCACCGAGCTGATCTCCCTGTGCTATGCAGCTGCTTTCCGCTAGCTATCTATTTTACATTTGGTACTGTATATATGTCCATGCCACTCTCTCACTTTGTCCCACCTTACCCTTCCCCCTCCCCATGTCCTCAAGTCCATTCTCTACATCTGCATCTTTTTTTTGTGTGTGTGGTACGCGGGCCTCTCCCATTGCGGAGCACAGTCTCCGGACGTGCAGGCTCAGCGGCCGTGGCTTACGGGCCCAGCCGCTCTGCGGCCTGTGGGATCTTCCCAGACTGGGGTACGAACCCGTGTCCCTTGCATTGGCAAGCGGACTCTCAACCACTGCGCCACCAGGGAAGCCCCTACGTCTGCATCTTTATTCCTGTCCTGTCCCTAGGTTCTTCATTACCATTTTTTTTTTTTTTAGATTCCATATATATGTGTTAGCATACGGTATTTGTTTTTCTCTTTCTGACTTACTTCACTCTGTATGACAGACTCTAGGTCCATCCACCTCACTACAAATAACTCAATTTCGTTTCTTTTTATGGCTGAGTAATAATCCATTGTATACATGTGCCACATCTTCTTTATCTATTCAACTGTCGATGGACACTTAGGTTGCTTCCATGTCCTGGTTATTGTAAATAGAGCTGCAATTAACATTGTGGTACATGACTCTTTTTGAATTATGGTTTTCCCAGGGTATATGCCCAGTAGTGGGATTGCTGGGTCATATGGTAATTCTATTTTTAGTTTTTTAAGGAACCTCCATACTGTTCTCCATAGTGGCTGTATCAATTTACATTCCCATCAACAGTGCAAGAGGGTTCCCTTTTCTCCACACCCTCTCCAACATTTACTGTTTGTAGATTTTTTGATGATGGCCATTCTGACTGGTATGAGGTGATACCTCACTGTAGTTTTGATTTGCATTTCTCTAATGATTAGTGATGTTGACCAGTTGATTCTTTTAGTGTATTTTTAATCTGCAAAAAAGAACCAACTTGAAGAAATTTAATAAGATAAGATGTGTAGAGCGGGGACCCTAGGTAACTACGATGGCACAGAGAAGTTTGAAAAGTGCAGGAAACTGGAACTAGCCTCATTGCTGGGATGCAGCAGCTGGCAGTGGGCATGTCAGGGTGGGAGGGAAGGCAACTCATGGTATCTAAAAGGGATTAGCAGCAGTAGAACAAGTGGCAGCCCAGCACAGGTTAGAAGCTGGTTGTTCTGACCAGCAGGTAGATATGGCAACTCTACCTGGAGAGGAAAATAGGTAGGGCAGAAAGTCAAAATCAAAGATGTCCAGTAGGAGGAAATGGATTGTTGATACCAGCCTGGAGGCAGGGGACCAATCCCCAGGAAGGTGATTAGTGAGTGACAGGAAATCTAGGTCCTGGTATTAGAAGTCCTGGGATTCAAAAGATGTTACTGAGAAAAGGATTCGGGAATAACAGAAAAAGGCAGAAGCCCAGTTAACAGAACTGGGGAACAAAATCAGGGCTCGACTAGCAGCAGGAGTGAATGGAGAGGGGAACCATGAGTTCAAGACACAAGAAAGGGGCCCAGCTCTAGAAACAGGATAGATATGGAGACTGGGCATCAGTCAGGTGCAGTCGTGAGATACATACCAACCATTGCTGCTGATTTATTTTTATATATTAAAAGACTATGCAAGCAATACATGTTTATGATAAAAATAAGAAAAAAAATTAGAAATAGAGATAATTAAAAAATGGAGAAAGAAGACCCACAATCTCACCAGTGTTAATATTTTGATGTATATCCTTCCGGGCTGTTCTTATACATACATACACAAATTTTTCCAACAAAATAGGATTATGCATACTGTTCTATACTCTACTTTCTCTCAGTATTATAAAATAAGGGATTTCCCTGGTGGTGCAGTGGTTAAGAATCCATCTGCCAATGCAGGGGACACGGGTTCAATCCCTGGTCTGGGAAGATCCCACATGCCGCGGAGCAACTAATCCCATGTGCCACAACTACTGAGCCTGTGCTCTAGAGCCCACGAGCCACAACTACTGAGCCCACGTGCCACAAGTACTGAAGGCTGCATGCCTTGTGCTCCATAACAAGAGAAGCCACCACAAAGAGAAGCCTGCACACCGCAACGAAGAGTAGCCCCTGCTCACCGCAACTAGAGAACGCCCACGTGCAGCAATGAAGACCTAACACAGCCAAAATTTTAAAAATAAATCTGTAAAAAAAAATTATAAAATAAGTATTTTCTACCCACATTTTTTAATGCTGCAGAATAATCCACTATACAGACAAACAATAGTTTATTTATTTTTTGCGGTACGTGGGCCTCTCACTGTTGTGGCCTCTCCCATTGCGGAGCACAGGCTCTGGACGCGCAGGCTCAGCGGCCATGGCTCATGGGCCCAGCCGCTCCGCGGCATGTGGGATCTTCCCGGACCGGGGCACGAACCCGTGTCCCCTGCATCGGCAGGCGGACTCTCAACCACTGCGCCACCAGGGAAGCCCTGATGTGTATTTTAATTAGGAACCTAAAAGTGGTCAGGAAATGAGCCTGGGATAATAAGATTTTGGAACAGGTCACCGGGACCAGATAAATAAGCCTGGGGTTGAAGGGAGAGGTCCAGAAAGCCCCAAAAGACAAATGTAAATTAAAGATAAATATAAATTTGGAAGTTGTCAGTGTACAGATGGTACTTAAAGTCAGGAGAATATATGAGATCACCAATGGCAAAGATGGGGGAAAAAAAGAGGTCCAAGGACTTATCCTTGGCGTTACTCCAGGGTATGACAGGGAGATGAAGAGAAAGCTGCAAAGGTGAATGAGAATGCCAGCCAGTAAGATAGAAGGGAACCAGAAAGCATGATATCCTAGAAGCCAAGTGAAGAAAGAGAATCAAAGAGAAGGCATGATTGAGTGACCAAACAGATAAAGTAAGGTGAAAACTGGGAAATGACCAGCAATATGAAATCACTCATGATCTTCAGTAGGACACTTGGGCAAAAAAAGACTGATTAAGGAAGGTTCAAGAGAGAATAGGAGGATAGGACTTAGAAACAATATCTGCACATTTTTTTAAAAGAAGTTTTGCCAAACAAGGGAACAGGGGAATGGGGCAGTAGCTGGAAGGGATAAGGGATCAAGAAAGATTTTTGTTTCACTTTATTTTGCTTTGTTTTTCAGATTGAGAGAAATAACCATGCAGTTGTATACTAAGAGGAGTGATCCAATAGAAATGGGAAAATGGATGATGGAAAAACTAACAATTGCACTGCCTTTGAGTACCGAGGGAAGATGAGTTTCAGTGTCCAAATGCTGGGACTGGCTTTGTTATAAATAAAAGCACGGGCAGTTTATCCATAATAAGAGGAAGGGAAAGCTGAATATATGGGTGCAGAGGCAGGGAGGTGGAATACGTGTGGTGGAGGGCGGTTCTCAGAACTTTTATTTTTTTCAGAAACAGAACTCAAAGTCATTACCTGAGAGAGAAGAGGTGGAGATCTGAAGAGAGAGGAGGTATGAGAAGTCCTCTAGGGGAATAGATGAATGATTGGACCAGGGAAATGAAGTAGAAATGCCGAGCAGAAGTAAGGACTCTCTTGAGGTTAAAGGTCATGAATTTAAATCAAACCAGTCCTCATGATTGCATGTTTTTCTCTAGCCACTTTCAAATGCACACTGCAGCCACAGAATTAGTGGAGAGTTGTACTTAACCAGGATTAAAGTTTTGTCAGGCAATTACTACTAGAAATTGGGAGAAGGGTGAGGGAGTTGAACATGTATTCAAGAGGAAGTGATTATAATGATAGGTCATGGTATTGACATGTCTTTCACATTTGTTCTCTCTCTCTGTTCACACAGACCTTGCTCTATAGCAAGTGCTCATTAAGGTTAGCCGGAACTGCCAGAGTTGTTCACTGCCATGAAAAGCTAATCTCTCTTCACTAATCACCGTACGCACATGGCTCATGTTTATTTTTGTTCTTCTCAGTCTCCTAATTCCTTGCCTTTAAGAACCAGACATTTCCTCAGAGAAAGACAAATACCATGATTTCATTTCTATGTGGAATCTTAAAAAAAAATAACCACAAACAGACAAACAAAATAAAAT